ACTTTAATGGGCTGTTGAAAAACTCCATTATTGAGCCATCTTTCAGAAATCCTTTGCATATGTAATGTAAGGCATTCTGCCCATCCTCGATCCTTTTAGAGTTCATTGAGCAACACCAGAAAAAAAAAATTTAAAACAAGAAAAAACAAATAGATGTAAATAAAAAAAACCCATTTGTTTAGCATGTGGCCGAGGTGGCCCAGAAGCTGGAGCAGCTGGAGATGGTGTTGGGCCCAAGAAGACGGAATCTCCCAGCTCTCCAACACCGTCCACTACAATCCTTCTGATCTTTCAGGTTGGGTTCAATCCATGCTTTCCGAGCTCAACTCCCAAATTGACGACAATACTCTACTCTCCAATAACCAGATTCCGAACACCAACCACAACCAATCTCATGTCGTTTTCCATGACGATTTCGAGTACGACCTTCAAGCAATCCCCGGCGTCGCCGCTTTCCCACTGCCACGGCCACCTCCACCGCCGAGCGATGAACAACAAAACGCTCCGAAGCACTTGAAGATGACGGCGGCGGCGATCTCAATCGAATCTTCTTCTTCCTCTTCTTTGAAAACTGAAGTTTCCGAGTCTACTCGAGCCATCAGCCTGTTTAACTCGCAGGATGCCGGAGTCCAACTCGTCCACACTCTCATGGCCTGTGCCGAGGCCGTACAGTAGGACAATCTGAAGCTCGCCGACACACTGGTGAAGCACGTCGGACTACTCGCAGCGTCGCAGGCCGGCGCGATGAGGAAGGTCGCGATGGAGGCGGAGCGGAGATTGAGGCGAGGAAGGATTTGGGAAGGATTGGGGAGGCTTGGGAGGCGAGGGAGGATTGAACGTGAACTAGGAGAGGAGGCTCGGGAAATTAAGGGCATGTTCTTTTGTCCGAAAAACTTAAAAAAACACAACTCGAGTTTTAACTTTATTTAAATTTATATTTTTTTAAGTTTTAACTTTATTTAATTTTACTCAGCTTTATTTAAGTTACAACTTCAACTCAAGTTATAACTCAAATTCAACTCAAAAATTACACTCAAGTTATACTCCAAAAGAACAACCCTTAAGTTTTACAACTTACAAACTTACGGGCCCTCATTCAAAAACTGCCGGGTCGGGCAACTCGGGTTAAATGTTGCTCGCCCCGCGGCCCAACCCGCACATTGGGGTTGGGCCTATTTGAATCCGATTTTTTTAAAAAAAAAATATAACCCTATATTTTCATATCGGGTCGGGTCGGGTCGGACATGTTAGTGGGGTTCGGGCTCAATTTTTACACCCCTATTTTATTTAATAAACACTTGACTTAAAACAAATAGGTAAAACTCAAATGTCAACGACGAAAACTCTGATGGTGAGTCCACCACACCTCTAAGAATGTGCAAGGAAGTCGCATCATTGTCGACAAAGGAAAAGAGATTTTGAAAGAAAGCAAGCCTCTAATGTAAGAGAACCACTAATTAAAAGTGCAAGCCTCTAACGTAAGAGAATCACCAAATAAAAGTAATGGGTAAAAATCAAGACCCATACACTTTTAAGAGTAAGTTCAGTAATTCTCTTAGAAAAAACCATAACGACCAATCAATTGGGTCAGCTGTCGATTCCATTTCAAAATACAAAAATTATAGTAAATAGCAGATTTAGGAAACTAAATGAAGTAAATAGCAGCTTTTAAAGCCATTTCAAGTAAATGTTATTTAACTTGTAAGTTTTTCATTACGATCGGTAAAAAATAATTTACGTAGTAAAAAATCTTCATTTACGTAGAACATATCTGTTTACTAATCGTAAAAAGAAAATTTATGTGGCAAAAATATTTTTACTAGTCAAAAATGAAACATTGACGCGATAAACTGCTATTTACTTCAAATAATTCTAAAATATGGTATTTACTTTATTTAGTTTTATAAATTTGCTATTTATTACATTATCCCTTAAAAATAAACAATTGTATTCAATTAATAAAGAGAAAACAAAATGACACCTAATTATTTAGGGCCTGTTTGGTTCATGAATTCAAAACATGGCTCATGATATTGACTTTTAAATTTAAATTTTTTGTAAAAAAAAACGGTAGCAGAACTAAGAACCATGGTTTGAACTATATAAAACCCTTAGAACAAAAATCACTTTACAATGATATAAATAATATACCTATACAAAATCATGACAAACCATGTACTTTTTCCTTAACTTAAGATTCTTCCCAGTCTAGAAGATAGTTGACTAAATCACTAGAGTCATCTAATTGGAGACTCCTATTTTAATTGATTTCCCTGGTGAACTAAAAGGAAAGGAGAAAGGAGACAAATACCTCTTAAAAGTGCATGGATAAGAATTTCTAACCCTTGCTCTTGATTAATAATCTTTTTAGTCAAATAACTATACTAGCAAAAGGACATTAATCAAGAATGAGGGATAAGAATCGAGAGTCATGTACTTTTAAAGATAAATTATGTAATTTTCTCAAAAGGAAAAAAAGATATAAATACCTCTTAGAATGCATAGATTTAAATTTTTATCTCTTATTCTTGATTAATATTTCTTTTAATCAAATAACTTTATTAATTAAAAGAGTATTAATCAATAGCATTGGTGATTAAAAAAAATGATAAAAATCCAAAAGTAAGTTCAGCATAAAGACTTATTTAGCCTCTAAGTTAGGCCCATAGTCTCGATTGCTCCTATTGTAGTCATTAGCTTAGTTTGGTATTACTTTTTTCTCGCAAAATCAGCTTATGCGTGTAACAGAAGCTGATTTTAGTGTTTGGTAAATCTCTTTAAAAGTGTTTTTTGAAGAATTTTTAAAAAATGTACAGCCAAAATCAGAAGTAGTCTAAAGACAACTTTAGTTTTTAGATTGTGCGAGAATCAACATAATACAATTAATAAAACTTTCATAATACCCATAATACCTCTAATGAAATTTAAAATTTAAAATTTTCCCAATCTAAAATTCACTCGTAATATAATATAATATAATATAATAGTAATATTGTAACAAATAATATCACAATTATATTAATAACTCTAATATTATTATTTTTTTCATATAATATGATATTATAATAATATTATAATTATTTTAATAATATGATATTATAATTATAATATAT